GACACGTCCCTTCTCAACAGGAGGAAAGCCTTCGGCTGTGTCCGACGAAGACGTCTGGATCGAACCGACCTGGCCCTGAGGCTCCGTCAGCCGGGGCTGAGCTCAGGGCAGGACACGGGGGTCTTGCTCCTCGTGCTGGATCCCCCCCATCCTGGTCCGGCCACGCGTTGCCTGTCCCAGCTGTATGGAAAGCAGGACTCACTTGTTATTCCACGCTGGGAGCTTGGGGAAGCTGAGGCATAGCTGGGTGAAGCCACGTTGTTTCCTGCTGCGAACCAGCCCCGGGCAAGCAAGGTTGCTGCCAGGACAAGGAACTATCCTGCGTCCCTGCTCTCATCATCATCATCATCATCATGGGTCATGGGCAGCCCAGCAGCCCGGCCCCAGGCGAGCAAGGCTGCTGCTGGGACAAGGAACTGTTCCTCGTCCCTGCTCCCATCATCATCGTCATCTTGGTTCAGGGGCAGCCCAGCTCCAGGCAAGCAAGCTTTCTGCTAGGACAAGGAATTGTCCCGCATCCCTGCTCACATCATCGTCATCTTGGGTCGTGGGATGCCCAGCAGCCCCAGAGTTGCCTGGAGCTCACCGGCGCGGTGGAAATAACCAGGAGGCCACAAGAAGGAGGTGTCCACAGCTTGATGGAGGGTGCAGACCCAGCACAGACCACGCCTGGGGCTCATGGAGAAAAGGGACGCGCAAGGAGCAGCTCAGCCTCCACCACGCACCGTCCAACGACCCAGAGAGCCTTTAACATTGAACGCAAAGATGAGAGAGAGCAGGATCAAGCTGCACGTCCTGGGAAGGAAACAGGGAGCATTTTGGAAACACACGGCCAAGGAGATGGGTTTTGCTGCAACGGTCTGCGGGCTCAGCCCAAACCGACCTCCGTCCCCTCCGGAATGGATGCAGCAGCTCACAATTTGCATTTCTTCTAAGGATTACTGGTTACATGTCGTAAAACCAGGAGGAACGTGGTATTCGGGACACCACACTGGTTATGGAGAGGGGGAAGGCAGGGCAGGACCTGCCCCAAAAGCAGAGGAAGGATGTGAAAAGCCAGGGGCGGCTGCCCATCCTTCTAACACCTTAGGTGAGCCACCTTAGACACGAGACTTTTAAGGCTGAGCGTCTCCAACGTGTAGGTCTCATCCGGAGATGACGGAGTTGGAGCTCTTTCATCTAGATGCAGAGCTGGGACCGCACACATTGCCGGGGTTTATCAGGCATCGGCACTATCAGAGCCCGTCCTGGAGAGACGGCAGCTCTCTGGCTCCCAGATCAAGTCCTTTTGGCTTCAAAATCATTTCGGAAAAGGCCGGCAGGATCCAGGGCCAAGCTGTCGAGGTCACGGGAGACCAGCAGCGTTCATTCAGGAAAGCCTGAGTCACCAGCCGGCCAGGGCGGGAATGCCGGGGAAAAAGGACAGGAAAAAAACCCAACCCTCCCATATCGGCAGATTTTAAACGCTTCCATAAATCCCCAGCGCGTGGATGAAGAGGGACAGAGAGCACCGATCACCGAGAAAGGACGGTGGCAGGAGCCTTCCAGGGACTCTTTTGTTCTCCGGAGCTCCAGCACGGCTCCTATTTTTAGAAACCGTCTCCTTTAGAGGAAAACATGCGGTGATTTATCTTTCTCCTGATGAGCACGTAACTGCACTCCCTGCAAATCCTGGTTTCTTGGAAACAGCGAGAGATGAGGGAGTTTAATGTCTTGGACTTAGGAGGCTCAAATTTACCCTCTATGGTAATCCAGCAAGAGCTGCTGCTCTAACCACAGGAGCGTGGCTGCAGCTTCTCCCGAGAGAGCACGGCGAATCAGCATTCATTTTTGAGCTCACGGTCTCTCCTCCAAGAGGTCAAACACCCTCGTATCGGGGCCACGGGTCTCTCCTCTCTGTTTTTCCTCTATCCCAAGAGTTAAAGCAACCCGGCCAGACATCAGGACGCTTTCAAAATCAAGCCATCGCATGAGCCTGTGGCCAAAACACACACAAAAAGCCCAAGATAAGGGAAAACCCATGAGTTTCCCAGCACGGGAGCAGTTACACGGAGACCAGGAGCTCTCCTAGATGCAGCAGACCCAGCTCTAGACAAATTCGGTGATGGTTAATTACAGAACACGTTTCAAAGATCATGAATTATCAGATACCAACATCTCCAGAAAAGCCGAAAGAGCCCTGGCTCATCGAGGCCATCACGGTCAGGGTTGATAAGCAGAGGTTAACGGCACGCTCAAGAGGCACGATAGCATATCGAGGTGCAAAAATTTTGCCTAAACCTTCTCCACCACCCCAGAAAACACCAGGATGCACCTTGAGGTGCTGTTCCACATCACCGCTCATCGTATGGCAGATGCTTCCTACACAAAAGGTCCGGTTTATTTGGTACCGGAGCTACTCAACACCTATTTTTAAGACTACCAACGCACCAAATGGTAGCCGTAACAATTAGCAAGGTTGCCCCGCTACGTCAGGAGGTCACGGAGATGTTGATAGATGCAACATCCAACAAAGCCAGCCCAGTGAAGGTCCCCAGCCATCGGGGACTGGAGGACGTGATGAATGAAGACAGGCTGCGGGAGTCAGGCTTGTTCCGCTTCAAGATGAGAGCATGCAGGTGCAGCCTACAGCCACTAATTGGAGGGCGTAGAGAAGATGGAGCCAAACTCCTCCTGGACACGCGCAACAAGAGGACAAGGAAGTCACAACATGGGAAACTCTTCCCTGTGGGAGTGGGACAACCCTGGGACAGGCCAGAGGTGTGGAGGATCTCCATCCCTGGAGTTGCTCAAAACTCAACTGGATGGGGCTTGCGCAACCTAACTTTGAAGTTGGCTGTGCTTTGAGCACAGGGATGGGATGAAGACCTCTGGAGGGTCTGTCCAACCTCAATTATTCTGTGATTTTAGGATTAAAAGCCCAAAGAAGTTCAAGAGTCTGAAGCAGAGAGGTCTTTTGGATGGTGGTTTCCATCAAGACCCTAGACCACATTGAAACAGGGAGAGGATCTCTCTTCTGAAGAGTTCAGCCAAGAAACTATGTTCTCCTGAAAGTTTTCTACCCAGCTCCCAAGAGGTGTCTACTGACAGTCTAAAAGAGCATAAAGGAGTGAAGATTTGAAGAAAACTCTTAAAATACTATTATTTCCCAAACTTCAAACTGTGTAAGGCTCCATCCCCTGAATACAACAGGTTTCCCTTCCAGACAGTCCCCCAGGACGGGAGGAAGGACGCCTGCCTGACTTCCTCGTGCCTTCTGCACCTCATATCTCAGCGATACAAGGTGAGGAGGGAGACTCGGCTCTGACTCCGGATCCTCCAGCAGCTCCCAGACCAGCTGCATTCCCACCGCAGAAGGACCGGCACTTCCAAAGGACATCGGTCTGAGGATGGGATGAAGCGGTCTCCAGTCAAGGGAGGAAAAAAGAGGCTCCTCCAGAGGGTGACGACTTGGTTTAGACCAGAACCGGACTCATCAAAAATGAAAAATTGAGCAAATTGGATAGGAATTTGCAATATCACTTTTCGGAGCAGTCTGAGGGCTTCCAAAAACCCTCAAAACCAGCCGATCACCTCCAAAAAGCCTTCGCTCAGCCTACACAAGCTCTCCCAGGCTTTGGTTTTTTCCAGCCTATCTAAACAAACTGAAAAAAAAGAGGCACAAAGAGATATTTTAGCTCCCCTACAGCCAGGCTGAGGGACCTTGTCATTTGAGCAATGGTATTAGGCAAGGGGTGAGTTATTGCATCATCTTCCGAGTAACGCAAGATGTCGCAAGGCATGATTTAGCTCTGGAATTAAAGACTAGCTCCTACTTAAGGCTCACACTTTAATCTCAGGTGTTTAATTTAAGAGCAAAAGGTACCAGAAGAATCACTTGTTGGCACCAGCAGCTGATACAGCTTCTGCATATTGTAAATAACCTGGGGAAAAAATATTTTGGCCTGACACGTCGCCTTTCGCGGTCCAAAAAGCACGAGAGCAACCGGTGGTGCCAAAACCCCCAGCAGATAGACCCGCACAGCAGGATTACTGCTCAACAGCGGGGGGAAAGCACCGTGTCCCCATGCTGTGGTGGTGCCGGAGCCGAGCGGCTGGGTTTTTACCGACGGGCTACCACCCAACCCAGCCACGGGGATTTCTGCCACATCAGATGGCGCAGATTTGGGTTTGTTACCAGTGGAATGAGGAATCCAACACTGGAAAGGTTCAGTCATCCGGGGCTACATGGTGGCCAAGAGATGGGGTGGGTTTTCCAGCCCTCAACACCACAGGAGATATTTAGCTCCCCAAAAGCTCGCTGGAAACGCAGGGAAGCAGGAGCTTCATTTCCCACATCCCAGCCCATCTCCAAATCCATCCCACAGCCCCAAACTTGGCTCTTCCAGCCCAAAACTGCCATGCAAGAAGACCTCTCCAAGGCCTCATCCATGCTGGCAGAGCCATGGCAGGTCCAACCCAAGCTGGCCTTGTGTTTGCAGTGCAAACAGTGGCGTTCGGTGGGCAAAGGCGCCGTCGGTACTTTTGCTCAGCAATCCTGACATCCCCGCGCGTGAGCACGTGGCTCCGGGATGAAAGTGGGTGACAGGAGAAGCAAAACATGGAGATCTTGCAAAAAAAGGGTGCAACAGGCAGCTCTTTCTTCTCCAACCCACTCTAAATAGGACCAACAGCTCCCACGCGAAGGCAAGGGCTTTGCGTGAGCACCATGAGATGCTCCACAGCAGAGCTTTTCCCTCACCCAAGAGAAGATGACCGCCTGCACCCCGGCATCCCCCCGGCCACCAAAAGCACCTGGACGAGCAACCTGGGTGCTCTGCACGCGTCGGGCTCAGCCTGGAGCTGTTCGGGTGACCACTCACGCCAGATTCAAGCTCTTCGACGGTATTCCTGCCCGAAATCCCTGGGTAGACACTACTCCTCCATCCCAAGAGCCCGGCATCGCTCCGTGCTCGCCACAGCCGAAATCATTTCGCCCACAGTCTCACGCGAGCGTCGAAATGCTCTCGCCAGAGCCAGACGAGACGATTGTGTTCTCCAACCCTTTGCTGTGGCTTGCCAGAAGCAAGCTGGAGATTTTGCTCGTGCTCCTGAATACAGACGAGCTGGCGCGAGGACAGGCTTTGCTGCGGGAGGCCTTGGCTGGAGACACGAACTTCACGTTTCCTCCTGAAAATGGGCACGTTTGGGTTTAGTTTTCCTGCACGTAGCTCCGGATCCTGCTCCGATGAAAGCTCTCGGCCGTTTGCCGAAGAAACGAGAGACATTTCTTTCTCCTTTGCGCTGTGTGGCGGTTCAGGGCAGTATTTAAGGACGCTCCTAAGCCTGCGGGCAGATGACCTTGAGGACACGAGCTCTTCAAAGCACAGCGTGCTGGCAGCACATCGCGTCTCATCTGACTTGGGCTTAGCCGGCTGCTGACGGAGCTGGGGAAGGTGCCGTTGCCTTCACGCGACACCGACAGCTCCGCGTTCGCTTCTGCTTGGGCTTCCTGGGAGCGGCGTGGGTCCCTTCACCCCTCCGCAGGTGCAGGGCGCTGGAAGTTTGTGTATTTAAGGGCTGGAAATGCCCAGGGTTGTGCAACCAGCATCCAGGTGCTGATATTTCTACTGCTGGACTTTGCACAGGCAGGAAAAGACACCGCAAAGGGTCCAAGCAACGGCAGTCCGCGAAGAGCGGAGCGGATAAATCCTTACATCCCCGACGTGTCTGCTCTAGTCCCAGGAGATGAACGCTGCAGGCTCACGTGCAAGGGGATCAGCTCGTCGCAGCAGGATGAATAACCCACCGGTTGGAGCTGCTCGTGTTTTAACCCGTGCTCTGGCCTGGGAGGAGCTGCCTGGGTTGGGACTTTGCTCAGCTCGGGGCAGCGGCTGGACTCGGGGAGCTTGGAGGACTCTGTATCATTGCTGCGAGGCGGGGGTGAAGCAAACTCTGCCGATGAAAGAACGATGTCCGGCCTCGTACCGAGGTGAAAAACCCAACGTAGGGGTAAGAGCATCCTGAATGGACGCAGCTCGCTGCTCCCCAGCCAAAGGATCCCACGTTTTTCATTGCACCAGTGCTATCTTCTGTCAAAATTATTCGCCCATCGACTCACCGAGGCCGCACCGAGCTGTGGTAATCCCGGTAGGAGCGGAGCCATCCATACGTGGTCCCTCTGGCTCCCCAAGCTGCTTAGCAATGCTGGAGATGACCCAAAAAGAGGAGGCAGGGCTGTGCAGGCAGGGTACAGGCAGCATGAATTTAGACCAGCTCCAAAAACGGTGCGCCAAGTGCCGGCAGCCGTGGTCCCATCCATCCTGTCGGCACCACGCATCCTGGCCATCCCTTCCACCGGCTCAGCTCTTTTTTTGAGCCATTTCAGTGCGTCTAAAGTAGAGAATTACTGGGAAAGACGGGATCAGGATCAAAAAGCAAGGGCTGCAAATATCTCCGGGGAGGGACAGAGCCGGCTGCCAGAGGAGCAGGTCAGAGCTATTCTCCTCCACGACTTGACGCTTATCTCAACGCAGTGACTCACGCGGGATCTCTCCACCGAGCCAGGCCGGGCGCAAGACATCCAAAAGGCATTTGGGAGGACGAGGATCGGCCCAATTCCCATCCTTCGGTCTCCTTGGGTTCGTTTTGTACACGGGGACGGAGGGTGGCCCCCCAGAGACACCGTGGCACCTCCATCCTTGGAGACCTTCCAAGCTGGACAACCTGCTCTTGCTTTGGCATTAGCCCTCCAACCCAAATCCCCCTTTCTACCCAAAAAGATGTTGAGGCTAAACAAGAAACACCCCAAATATTTTCTTCCGAGCTTCATAAAGGCTTCGCGTTTGCTGCTCTCTGCCTGTTATTAATCCAGGCACGAACAACTAAACCGTCCCCCAACAACTGAACTTCAAGAGGTAGCAGCCTTCGGTGGGGGCTCAGAGACCTCCCAAAGCCTTGCTTGGGCAGAAGGTAAAGCCATTTTGGTGCGGAAGGAGCCAAAACCTCCTGCCTTTCGCTTCAGCGAGCCATTGGCCCATGCCCCCAAATCATGGGGAAGGGGGGAAAAGAAAAATCAAATCCTATTTCCATCCCTTAAGCGATTGCCCCGTTTGGGGCTTGGGAAGCCCCATGAGCATGGGAACATCAGCTGAAACGGCAGCGCGGGAAGGGGTTGGGGGGCTGGAGGGGCTGGGTGACAGATGGGTCAGGGACCGGCTCTCCTTGCTGCCCCACGGGAAACTCAAGGCTATGGGGAGACACCAGGACAACGTGGAGGACAGATACAACATCCTGGTCCCACCAAGTCCAGAAAGCTCTTGGCAAGAGAAACCACACCACCGGGAACTCCAGAGCAAGGACAAGGACCTCCAGGCACTACCAAAACCAGCAACGCTCCAATATCAGCATTACTAGAAAATTTTAAGACAACCGTGAGCCACGGAGCAAGGATGAACACACAGACGCTTCCCATGGGAGAAGACCATGGAGGCCACGTTGGCTCCAGGCCAAAGCCGCCCCGCGTTCCCCATCCACCAGCAGCACACGGTGATGGCTGCGGGTCTCAACGGCCACAAGGAAACCTTGAAGCAACCTGCGAGCGCCCATCCTTCCCGATGGATGGGCTTTGGGACAAGCACCGGTCTCCCCCTCCGGCTCCCACTTCCCCTAAAATCGAGCCTGTGGGTTTCCACGCACAGGAGGAGGATCGCAACCCTGCGCCGAGTCGATCCCATCTACAGGGTCCCCCCTTTGGTTTCTAGATGCAAAATAGGATTTGTTTTCACCCTGCCCGGACACCGCAGATCCCAAAACCCCATGGGAGACCGTGGGCGCGTGGCCCTGCGTCCTACCACGCGCTCGGGGGCGTGCAGGTCCCTCTCGCCTCCGTCGCCAGCAGCGGTCCGGGGTTATCCTGTCCCCGCTATCGCAACCGGTTCTCCCTCGAGCAGTTAGAAAGGCAACGCCTGCTCAGGAAGTGGTCTCTGCAGCAGATGGAGGTGGGGAACGGCACGGCTGCAAGGGGAGGGCGCTGGATGTGCTGACTCGGCATCCCAGCGAGCTCCAGCTCGTCCCAGTGAACCGGCCGCTCAGAGCAAAGCACGCACGACCCCCCCCACCCCCCTTCCAGCATCCCGCTTGGGCGGCAAGGCCGAGCGATGCATTGCGGACCCGGAAAAACGCCGAACGGCTCCGACGCCACCAGCACCCATTTTCCACATGTTGTTTCCCAATGCCACCAGCCCTGGTTATCCCTCGTTCACCTCTCCCCGTGCAGGATTTCCCTGCCATCGCTGTCACGCCCAAGCTTAACTCTTCCCCTCGAAACGCGGACCCGGCACCCTGGCTGTCTCTTGGCTTGGCTGTGCCTGGGCACGCTCCTTCCAGCAGCTCCGGAGTTCGTTCTTGCCGGTCCGGACAGATCAGTGCGTGTTGCATCCATACAAAAAGCCGCTCGAACCTCTCCGGATGGGACCTCTGCGTTATCAAGCAAGCCCTGGGTTGTTCCGCGTGCCGTCCCTGGGTGCCAAGCAGATGTTTCATGGGATGCAACATCTTCGCTGTGTGCTCTGCGGCCGCGTTTGTCGCTCCTCCGACGCAAAGCTCGGCGATTTGGCACCAGTTTGGCACCAATCGGCCACTTACACTCAAGTCAAGCATTTCTCTCCCAGCGTGGATCACCGATAAGAGCAACAACCTTCCTG